AGATCCGACTTCCCCCCCAATTTAGGACAATTTGTTTAGTCTCTTAAGACCAGTTTATGTTCTCATTTCAGGGAGTCATAAGCATTTCATATGCATTTTGTGATATGTCTGTATCAGAATGAGCTTGGGCAACTGCAGTAAAGCTGAGAAAAGATCAAAATGATCCAGGTTAGTGAAGTGAGCGGCTCACCTAGAAGAGTGCTAATGATCTACGGTCATATGTGTTCAATGTTCAGGACCAATTTTGAAAAAGCTGACAAAGCTTTATAACATAGCTAAAAAGGAGATTCGAAGCGAAATGCTATTTTAAGTTAATAAGGCTTTGTAATGTCAGTGAGATGACAGGCATAAAAGAGTTAATATATTTCTCATTCTGATTTTGAGTACAACAAGCACACAATAGGCTAAAGTTCATTAATTTATCAAAAGAACACAAGTGCATAATTGGGTTCATGGTCTTAATTAGAGATGTGCATTAGTTTTCGTGCAAATACGATTTCGTCCGAAAATTCGTGTTTTTTCGTGTTTGTTTACTAAAAAGTAAACGAGAGCCCTACATATCTAAACAAAAAATCTAAACAAAACAAAAGGGCAAATGCCGAGTGCATTACCTTTTCGTTTCATTTATTTTGTTTAATAGACTCCGTGCTGCAGGGGTATTAACCCCCACAGCACGGAGAAAATAACACTGCACATGCGCGGGGAAAAAAAAGCAAGGAGGGAGCCGGCATCGCTACCAGCTCCCTCCTTGTAATAAATAGTAATTCCTACCCTCCCCCACATTAAAATCTATGGTGCTCACTATGACCCCCATATTAATAAAAGGAAGTTTAAATCCTCTCACATGCCCCTACTCGCTGCATGCCACCTAAACAGCGAGCAGCCAGTGGCTGCTCACTGTCATTTAAATCTGAATATAAATCAGTATGGGGGTCACTCTGACCCCCATATTAATAAAAGGGAGGTTAAATCCTCCCACGTGCCCCTACTCGCAGTAGCAGTAGCTGCCCAGTCACTAGTAGTTTTAAATGACAGCGAGCACCCAGTGGCTTCTCGCTGTCATTTAAAACTAGATATAAATGTATCTTATATAAAAGTGATAGAGAGCTACGGTAAGAGTATGTGTAAAAAGTAGCTATTTAGATCAGTAACACAGCCTTATTGTGTTACTGCTCTAAATAGCTACTTTTTCACATTGCAATATTGTTATTGTTTTTGCTATAACTATTTGTTACATGTACTCTTACCATAGCTCTCTATCACTTCCATATAAGATACCGATTTATTTATATCCTGTTTTAAATGACAGCGAGCAGCCACTGGCTTCTCACTGTTTAGTTGACATGCCCCTACTACACGGGGGGATCTGGCACAGGTAGTGGCTTGCGAGAGGATTTAACCTGTGCCAGGTCCCCCCTTATTGCACTAGCGACTGGGCAGCAGTAGCTGCCCAGTCACTAGTAGTATTAAATGACAGCGAGCAGCCGCTGTCTGCTCGCTGTTTAGACAACATGCCCCTACTCACGGCATGCAGAAGAATTTAACCTCCCTTTTATTAATATGAGAGTCATAGTGACCCACATAGGTTAATGCATGGGGGGGCTGGAATGGTTAATGTTTATTACAAGGAGGGAGCTGGTAGCGCTGCAGACTCGCTCCTTGCTTTTTTTTCTTTTTGAGCATGTGCTGTGATATTTTTTACAGAATTTTGTCTGAAAAACAAATGGTTTACTGATGAAATTAAGGATTGACGAATGAAATTTTTATTAAGTACAAAATCATTCGTACGAAACGAAAATTTTACTGGTGCACATGTCTAGTCTTAATATATGTCTTCAGGTGTGGTAATATTGATCAATGTAATGGAATTTAACATTTGTATCGTAAAGGAACACTCCAAGTACCACTATAGTACGCTACTATTTTATTCTCCTTAAACTTTTTCTTTTATAGTCTAACAGCCACCTTGGCCAGTGTAGGGGCAGCAAGTATCCCGAGCGCTGGTCTTGTTACAATGTTACTCATCTTAACAGCTGTGGGCCTCCCAACTCAGGATATTAGTCTGCTCATAGCAGTGGACTGGTTGTTGTAAGTATTATTTTCTATTTGATTTATTAGTTTAGTAATCATTCACCAGCTTAATAATTAATATTGTAGGCTTATATCATTCAGAATCACAGGATGAGTTGTTAAACTTTGTGAATCAATTTTATATGAACATATATATTAGTGTTGGCAACTCTCCTGATGTGGTGGAACATCAGGTGTCCATATGTACAGCTAGTAATGCTGTTGCACTACACCTCCCATGATGCTTTATCAGGCTAGGCTGTTGCCAAACCATGGAAGATGTAGTTTCACATTATCTGGAGAACTCAGTGTTGATCCCCCATACCGCTAGACATATTGAAGGCTAAACAAGACCTTGTACGTCATAAGTAAATGAGCAATGCCCTTCATTGATCATTAATTATCAATTTGCCTGCATATTTTCTACATAGAGTGACTATATAATCGAGAAAAGAGATAATTGTTGGCAGTAAATAGCCAAATCTAAGCTATGCAAGTAACCTTTGTTGATAGTATGGGACGTCAATTTAATTTGTCTTTTTATATTCAAGAAGCCCTGGCTATTTTCAAACTGCATCAACATTAAATTAACAGATAAGCAGAGATTAAATTGTTTTGTCATAATGTATTTATTTAAACAAGCACCAGGAAATACCCTTGACATTTTTGGCGTATTCCCTATCATAACTTGGAAGAATATGTAGGGGTCTTGAATGAACACGAATAGTATTGCTGACATGATTTAAGTGCGATGCCTATAGTTTTAAAGCTAATATAACATTGGGATTCTTAACAAGGAATGGAGATTTAGAACAACTATATTTAATGTCGATATGCAATCAGTGTCTTTCTTTAAGAAGAAATTTATGAATACAGACACTTGCAGGGTTATTCACTATATTGAGAATTGTTGGGGATTCAATGTGAATTTAAAGTTTAAGGCCAAAGTAACTAAACAGGAAGAATAACTGACTTGGAAAATGTGGAATTTACTTTGAATTCCTAAAACTTCTCACTTTAATAAATAATTCTGATCCATGTTGTCCAAATGGAGTCTAGACGGATTGTTCTAATTGTGGCTATTGCATAATCCTCCAACCTTTCCTGAACAAATCAAAGGTTAACAGACATTCTAGCTAGTCTTTTGACTTCCATTTCACTTCTCACTGTCTCTCTCTCACTTTCTTTCACTAACTTGCTTGAATATAATGTTCATCAGAAAAACTAAGTTAACCCTCATGAGATTGGGTAGAGAACATCTCTGATAGGTACAACTAAATACATATTTTAAACATTTACCAATATTTCCGTTTTCATTTTCCTTTCCTAGAGACCGTATGAGAACATCTATCAATGTAGTGGGTGATTCCTTTGGAGCTGGCATAATCTACCATTTATCGAAAGCGGAGCTTGCTGCCATAGATGCTAAACATGACATTAAAGATGGGACAGATATGGTCAAGATGCATTTAATGAACCACAAAGTCCTCCAAAAACCCGTCAGAGAGGACATAAACACCCCACCTTTTTCAGGTTATGCCTCCCTACCTACTGATGAATATCAAGTTGACGTTGAACCTCCTCTTTCTCTTTAGTTCTCCATATATTCTGCACATCAACACCAGCAGCTGGCCCTTGTACAACTCACAGTTTCTCCACCTTTGTGATACCAGCAAGAACTATCCAGTTAATTCTAATTATATTTGGGACTGATTAGTGAATAAAAGGACAAATTGCAGGCCTGGCATTACAAGTGTGAAAGATCAAGATCGACATAGTTACCTGGTGCTATTTAAACTTCAAATAGAAATTGCTCAGCTGGTTATTTTAGAGTGCTCTTGTTTGTTGGAATATTATCCTATTACATGTGATAGAAACATGGATGTAACGTATAGGGGCTGCATATAGAATGTCTACAAAACAAAATTATGAAGGTATTTATGGAAAGCTGGGGCCACCCATTGAATTGAAGTATTGCAATTTGACCTTATGATCACTTCAAACAAACAAACCTTGTTGAAAAATTGTGTTGCCTATGAAAGATTGTGGATAATTTATAGTAGCATGGAGGGATTTGAGTACAAAACAGATAACTATGATATCTTAAAACAATTCAAAATATATTTCCACATTATAAGAGAGAATTTTCCATGGGAACAGAATCTCTCCAATATCAGTGATGTGTTCACCACATATATTTAGGTGAATCTATTGCTTAATCTGATTGCTATTGAATGAGTCTATTTCGAGCATAATATTCTGAAAAAAAATTAACAATTCCAAACCATCAGTAGAACCGTAATATATGATGATATCTCATGAAGTTTCTAACCGCTAACTAGAGATAGGCACCATCTTGCACTTCTGTTGCAGTGGACAACACTCCCCTGATTTTCAGCCTTCAGAAAACATAATTCCTCTTGTTAAATAAAGATCTGTCATGGATTGAATGGGAGAAGGGGGATACCATAATTTTGTATTTTTCGCGCTTTTACATAGCATTAAATTATTGTCTTTATTTATATATATATATGCATAAACAATGCGTTATTGCATTGTTTATGCATATATATATATATATATCTATATATATATATATATATATATAGATATATATATATATATCTCCAAGGCTCCTGCACTCCAACTTTAAAGGGACACTATAGTCTACATATAAAAGCAAGAAAGACAGGTCCCCCAGCCTTCCTTCTTGCTTTTATATGAACTTACAGTTAATAAAAATAATTTTCAAAGCTTTCTTATCATATAAACTTACCTCCGTTCCAGCTCCGAGCTCCCTGCCATGTCGCGCCCCCTTTTTCATCCACTCCCATCCCCAAATCCATCCACTCCCATCATCCATCCCCAAATCCATCCACTCCCATCATCCATACCATCCATCCACTCCCATCATCCATATCCATCCCCAAATCAATCCACTCCCATCATCCACATCCCCCACCCACTCCCATCATCCAAATCCATCCACTCCCATCATCCATCCACTCACATCATCCATATCCATCCCCAAATCCACCCACTCCCATCATCCATATCCATCCACTCCCATCATCCATATCATCCATCCACTCCCATCATCCATATCCATCCCCACATCCATCCATTCCCATCATCCATCCCCAAATCCATCTACTCCCATCAATATCCATCCACTCCCATCATCCATATCCATCCCCAAATCCATCCACTCTCATATCATCCATCCACTCCCATCATCCATCCACTCCCATCATCCATCCACTCCCATCATCCATATCCATCCCCAAATCAATCCACTCCCATCCTCCATATCCCCCATCCACTCCCATCATCCATATCCCCCATCCACTCCCATCATCCAAATCCATCCACTCCCATCATCCATCCACTCACATCATCCATATCCATCCCCAAATCCACCCACTCCCATCATCCATCCCCAAATCCATCCACTCCCATCATCCATATCCATCCACTCCCATCATCCATATCCATCCACTCCCATCATCCATATCCATCCCCACATCCATCCATTCCCATCATCCATCCCCAAATCCATCCACTCCCATCAATATCCATCCACTCCCATCATCCATATCCATCCACTCCCATCATCCATATCATCCATCCATTCCCATCACCCATATACATCCCCAAATCCATCCACTCCCATCATCCATATCCATCCCCAAATGCATCCACTCCCATCATCCATCCACTCCCATCATCCATATCCATCACCCAAATCCATCCACTCCCATCATCTGGTCAGATAAAGTATAAATAATGAAAGAAATACCTGCACTCCAGGATTTGATAAAAAAGAGATGTTAGTTCTTCTTTATTCTTACAGTTCCAGTCAACGTTTCAGCTCTTGCACAGAGCTTTCATCAGGACATCAGGATATATACAGTGGCGTCTCTAGGATTCATTTTTCGGGGGGGCACATGGAGGGCCAGTGACAAAAGTAGGGGGGCACATTTAACCCCGCCCTTGTCACAGTTTGACCCCGCCCCTGTTGCATGTTAAGCCACGCCCCCGACACAATGTGTGTTTTTTTTTTAATAATAATACCTGGTGGAGGATTCATTATTTTCCACCAGGGATTATTAACCCCTTAAGGACGGAGCCAAATGTACACATTGTGAACAAAACAAAATGTAAACAAAACCTGGCATTTGCGCTACATGTCTGTC